TATATATATATATATATATATATATATATATATTATGATTGCATAATTTTCTATGATTTTTTTTATTAATTTATATATGTTGACATGTATTTGTACTACATTGTATTGTATTGAAAACGTTATACTTAGCTTAATTATTTTTATTTGTAAATTGATTATTTTAATTTTTGAAATTGATAGTTATCTGTTGTAAATCAAAACAAGTCTTTAGATTTTATTTTATTACGAATACAGTAAAAAATTATACAAAGATAAATACAATTACAAATTGATACAATAAACATTAAAGTTAGTTAATATTTTACTACCTTAAAAACCTCTAATTTTTTTATTGGATGATGGATTCCCTTAATTAAGATGTTGAAAATTATATTAATTAAATATATAACTATTTTTTATTATAAAAATGTGTAATTAAACTCTATTTCCGTTGTCCTGTCAAAGATAGATAATATTAAAAGAATTGTTGTTATACACGTCTTTAACTTCCAAATATCCTTTTGTTTTAACAAAGATATGATATGAAGATATTGAGAAGATATAATATATTTCTTTTCGAAAAGAAAAAATGTTATAAATTGTTATTATTACTATTATCATAAATCCTAACTAAATAATAAAATTAAAAGATTTCTTTTTTCAAATTTTTCCTTTTCACTTTATAAATAATATCTGTTATCTCTTCTAGCCCTGTTTACCTTTTTCGTTCTATTCTCTGCTTCGAATTTTTGCAGTCGATTTGTATAGTTTGTTTCTTTGCACAACCAAGACCACGTGTGCGTTCCTGGACTAGTAGTAGTACGAATCAGAGAGAGGGTTCTTCTGTGCTGATTAGGTTAAGCTGTATGCAGCACAGTGATAATAACATGGAAACCTCCAAACTCAGTAACAGTACTCAAAATATTCGATGCCATCACTGCGCAGGACCCCTTTCAAACCGCATGGTATATTTCTTCCCAATAATTGTTATTATTCTTTTATCTCTTTCTCTCTTACCAATTTCATTCCTTTGATTCAGGAAACCAGTCTCTGGACCGTTTCGCCTCTCATCAGGGATAGCTTCTCTATGGTGAATTATTCTCACCCATTTAGTTTATTTCTTCGATATCTATGTGGGTGTGCGAAATTTCTGATCTTTGTTTTTGGGGTTGAACATTTTCAGATTGGTTCTGCCGTTGGCGGCACGGCGAGTGCATTTTATGGATTCAATCTTGGTATACACTCTTGCTTCTCATTTTTTGGTTATTTTTTATAAAAGCTTGCTAAGATTCTCTGAAATTAAAGGGGTAGTGCATGGTGATCAGTTGCAGACTGTTATTTGGAAATAGGAACATTATGTATGTATAGAAGTGCTTTGTCCATCATGTCTGTATTGCTTCTAAGATGTGTTGTACAGAAACTTGAGTTATGTAAACATTGTGGGAACGATTAAGTATCTGTTTGTATTGAAGTTAGGTTTAATGTAACTGAAATTTAACACCACACTTCCTTGTACTTTTTCACATTGGAAAGTGGTATGTTAAATATCCATTTAACTGGTGTTGAATGTGTTTCCATACACAGCTGAAGTTTGAGTGGTTTGCAAACTTTATTTGTGGTAACTGTTTACCTTCCAAACTGAATAATGTTAATTTTTCATAGGTTTAATTAATCATTTGTTCCTACATAACTTTTTGTATTTGTTCCTATATTTAAAAGCTCTATATTTTAGTCTTATACAAGCATTTGTTTTTGTTTTAACCCTTGTTAGCTTTCTGACAGTATAAAATTGTCTCAAAATGTGGTATAAAGACTAAAATTTAAGAGAAGAATCGCCGTGTGTAGGTACTGAAACATAGAATTTTAGATATAGGGACTAAAACGAAAACTTGGCACAAATGTTAGGATCAAATGTTTAATGAAACCTTTTTAATATTTAGAAACTAAACTATTTTGTTTTTTACTTAGCATGAAACTCTATACGTATATATTTTTGCTTACTTTCTTAGATGAT